GTGTGTGTGTGTGTGTGTGTGTGTGTGTGTACACATATACATATAATTAAATATTAAATTATTTTTAAAAAAGAAAACCAAAATTAATAATTTTATTCTTGATATAGATGAACACTTTGAACAAAGAAGTGATGACAGAGATAGAAGGATTGCTCAATGAAATTCAATCAAATCCTCTTGTAAATTCAATAGTTCTTATTAGTGGAAAGCCAGACAATTTCATAGCTGGTGCAGATATTAATATGTTAAAAGCTATTCCTGATGCAGAAACTGGTTATCAATTGACAAAGGAAGGTCATAAAATTCTTGATGCGATAGCAAATAGTAAAAAACCGATTGTTGCTGCTATTCATGGTCAATGTCTGGGTGGAGGATTGGAGGTAACATATTTCTAACAAAAATAAATTAGTATCTATAATTGGAATAGAGAAATAAATGGAAATCAAAGGGATGGAATAATTCAATTGATTATTTTATGTAGGTCGCGTTGGCATGCCAATATAGACTCGCTGTTAATAATAAGAAAACTAAGTTAGGAGTACCGGAAGTAAAACTCGGACTTCTTCCTGGTGGTGGTGGTACTCAACGCTTGCCTAAATTGGTCCCCCTTACTACCGCTCTGGATATGATGCTCACGGGTAAAAATGTTATGCCTGACAAAGCGAAGAAAATTGGACTAGTGGATATCGTGGTGAATCGTCTTGGACCAGGAATTGGAACGCCCGAAGAAAAGTAAAAATAGCGCATTTGCGTTATATAAATATTTAAGCAACAATTAATTTGTTTATTTGCAATGATTTGTATTTCTCACATGTGTATTTATAAATTCATCAGTAAATATTTGTTTTTTTTCATATATGATAATTACATATATAATCTTATTTACTTAATTGTATATGTTTTTATAAAGTAAAATTTTATACTGTGTATCAAAACTATATCACATACTTTAAAATTAAATTGCGTTATTTTAGCACGTTGCGATACCTAGAGGAAACCGCGATAAAAACCGCGCAAGATCTCGCAAACGGAAGATTGAAGATTGAGCGAGGCCCGAAGTCTCTAATGGACAAGATAATGCAACAGATTCTGTCCATTAACTTCGTCAAGGATCAGGTGTTTAAGAAAGCAAAAGCACAAGTAATGAAAATGACGAATGGCTTGTATCCAGCTCCCCTTAAAATCCTAGAGGTAGTGAGAGTTGGTCTAGATAAGGGTCCTGCCGCTGGATTCGACGCCGAGGCCAGAGGATTCGGTTATCTGGCGAATACACCAGAGTGTAAAGGTCTTACCAATCTGTTCTTCGGCATGACGACGTGTAAGAAAAATCGTTTCGGTCCACCCAAGAGTGCAGTTAAGTATGTCTTTCAAAAAATCTTCAAGCAGGATCGATCGAAATAATTATCAATATTATTTTATTACAATTTAATGTGCGTAGAAAAATTGCTGTACTTGGTGCTGGTTTGATGGGCGCGGGTATCGTCCAGGTCAGTATCGACAAAGGCTATGATGTCATCATGAAGGATACTAACGAGGCTGGACTGTATCGCGGTGTGAACCAGATTCAAAAGGGCTTGAATGGTGCTGTGAAACGTAAACGAATCTCTAGGTTAGCATCTCTGCTATAAAACCAAGCTGCAAATAGAAAGGCATCTTAATAGAAGTTTTTTTGTATAGTATCGAAAAGGACAAATACTTGTCTCATCTCGACGCGACGTTAAGTTATGATTCCTTCAAGGACGCAGACATAGTGATCGAGGCTGTCTTTGAGGATATCGCCATCAAACACAAGGTTTTAAAGGAAATCGAAGCCATAGTACCGAATCATTGCGTCATTGCGACCAATACCTCCGCTATTCCTATCACGAAGATCGCTGCCGGTAGCAGCCGTCCTGACAAAGTATAGCCTAATCTTAATATTTTGATTTTGAGTTATAATAATATTTAATTATATTAAATAATGTTAATATTTTAATGCAACATTTGAAAATATAAAAATATATAATTAGTTTGATTAAATTAATTTATAATTAAGAAAAATATGTGCAACATAATTTTTTTAATTATGATAGTCACATCATAAATAAACGATAAGCACTTTTGAAAGCATAACTTTTCATAGGTAATCGGTATGCACTACTTCTCTCCTGTCGACAAAATGGAACTGTTAGAAATTATAACACACAAAGGAACGTCCGAGGAGACGATCAAGACCGCTGTAGATGTCGGTCTGAAACAGGGCAAGATCGTTATCACGGTTGGTGATTGTCCCGGATTCTATACCTCCAGAATACTTTCTACCATGTTATCAGAAGCAATTAGGCTAATGCAGGTAATTAAATAAATATTTAATAAATTTTTAACATTAAAAAACTTTAATATTAAAAACAAAAAATTAAATAAAAGGCTATGGAGAATGTGGCGCAATTAAAAGTGCACAAATTATCAGTATAAAATATAATTTATAATATTTAAAGTATGATCTAACGAAACATAATTTACATTTTTATATAATAAATATTTCGGTTTTGTTTTGAGTCGTTCTCACCGTTACATAAATATTAAAAATCAACAATACGTAATCACTTGGGATTGCATTAACATGCAGGAACTACTATACTAATGATTATTTACAGATATTACAATGTATAAATAATACATTTTTATTAAGCATCTAAATTTTGAAATTGATAGAATTATGATTATTAGAGTGACTAATCGATTGAATTTATGTACTATCACAGTCATGTTGGCGTTGTTTCAATCCCAAATACGAATATATATATATATATATATATATATATATATATATACGATGCAATCTGTTAAACAGGAAGGCGTAGAGCCGAAGCATCTGGATAAACTAACAAAAACATTTGGTTTCCCTGTTGGCCCAGCTACTTTGTCTGATGAAGTCGGTATTGATGTAGGTGCTCATATCAGTGTCGATCTTCAAAAAGCTTATGGCGAGCGCTTTAAAGGTGGAGACGTGAATATTCTCGCCGACATGGTTAAAGCTGGTTTCCTCGGTAAAGTTTTTTTTTTTTATAAAGAAAACTTTTAAAGAATGCAATAAATTATCTATTTTGCAATTGATTATTTTGCTCCTTGGGGATACAAAAATTTATTAATTTATTAATAATAATAGAAATGATAAAATACCAACGATAAAATATAAAAATGGCAAGACGTGCTAACTTTAGATTTTGTACATGAATTTCAGGACGTAAATCCGGCAAAGGTATATTCATATATGAAACTGGTTCCAAAAATAGAGACGTAAATGTTGGCGCACTGGATATTCTGAAGAAATATAAGCTTGAGCCTAAGGGTAGCATATCCGATAAAGACCGCCAAATGAGGTTGGTCTCGCGATTCGTCAATGAAGCAGTGCTGTGCTTAGAGGAAAATATTTTAGCTAATCCCGTAAGTGCACTTTATGTTTATCTGATCCCTATAACAAATTATACGATAAATAATAACGATGATAAAGCTTAAGTTAGATAATAATGTTCTAGATTTCTATTAACAAAATTCAATTGTATGGATAATATTCTATATCAGAATTCTATTAAAAAAGAAAAAAAAGAGTATTATTCGAGAAATAACAATGAGCAAATCATCAGTTTTAAGAAAAATCTCGTTGTTTAGTGAATTATGAGAAAATAATTTAAATATCTGTACACATATAAGCACAATTTTTAAACAAAAATTAGAACAAAAGTCTTTTGTTCTAATTATATTTTTCTTGTTTATGACATTTTATTTTATGAAATTACAGCAATTTATAATTTGCATTTTAAATATGGATTAAGATCATTTTTTTATTATTTTCAAAACAATTATTTAATAATTATTTAAGAAGACAAAGACGAAATATTTTTCTTATTCCTAGTTGAATCAATTATTTACATCTTTTTTATTGTTCTTTGTTATTTATTCATTATTTATATTTTAGTTGGAGGGTGATGTTGGAGCTGTCTTTGGCTTAGGTTTTCCACCATTCACGGGTGGTCCATTCCGTTGGTTGGATGTATACGGTACCCATCGACTCGTTAAGAAGATGGAAGAGTTTCAGAGTCACTACGGCGAAACTTATAAACCATGCCAATTGTTACGCGATATGGCAGCAGATTCTACGCGAAAATTCTATCCGAATTAAAAATTCGATAGACATACATTATCAGCATCTCTCCATGTTAATCCGAGAATTGTATTATATTTGTTCAGGCTCAGAAAGCACCTCGAAATAGGTGCATAGCTTAGCTCTTTGTCATTCTACAATTGAATTTGAAGTTCGCATTTATTATATCTCGTATATACTAATTAGAAAGTTATTTTAAGTTGATAATATTTTTTCGTCAAAAAGCACTTGGACATTAACATCTTTCTAAAGAACATTATCACATAAGATTTATTAAAGACTTAATAATGCCTTAAAAATGAAAACATCTTTTAGACGAATGTTGTTTCAATTTGTTTTTAGCTAATATAAAATACATGAGTAGTGTCTAGGAATCTACATATATGTTACTTAATCATAATATTTTTGTTCATGTGCCAATCCCATACGTAGGATTTTTCAGATCTAATCGAATATTTTTCATTCTGATAAAAATGTAAATGAACTTTTTTTTATCAGAATGATACATATCGTAATATATGACATTACATAAAAATAATGTTAATTAAATATTATTACATAAAATTAATTAATATTAAAACTTATTCTCTCGGAAAAGAAAGAAATTTTCAAGAATATTAATGATTCAAAATATTCACAGAGTTTTATAAACTTGTATGTTTATAATTTTATTAAATTTAATAATATTAATTTCTTAATAATATGATTCTTATTTCATATTTTTAGTGAGGAAAGAGTATATGATCAGATGAAAATATATATAGCTTTGTACTTAGTACAACTTTATTCATACGAGATATAATAATACGGCGCGATTTCACGTGTGCAGATCAAATGAGATGGGTGCTAACGTGTGTGCCACGAATAATGCGCCGAGGCTCTTGCGACTTCTAGAATATTATATATATTTTTGGACTCGGAATTTACACGACTCGCCCAACGACTTCCCGCGAACGCATTGTAGATAGATTCGTGCATTTATTAATTTCGAGAGTTTTATATGCCGCAATATTTGATACTCTTACATACATCTTTATAGTACTCGTTGTAAATTAGACGAATCCATATGTAACAATTATACATGTATTTTTGCGAAATAAAGAGTTTCTATATTAAGCATATTTTTCATTCCGTCCGAGCGATTTTTTTTTTTGTATCACTTTTTGACCGAATCTCATCTAATTATTTTTTTATTTTAAACTAGTTATTAAATATAAAAAAGTTTTTTTTTAATATTCTTCAATATTATTTATAATTTATTTTTTTGAAATTTTGTACACTGATTTGTAATCCTTATTGATTCGAAATGTTTTCGAAATATGTCATATATTTCACACATACGCAAAAAATTATTGTTTAGTGCGTAACGATCGATAATTGTCTTGATTTTATTTAAAAAAAAACTAATAAACCAGTCTGTATGTACCAGTAATTAATTAATATTACCCATCAGAATTATATATACAGACGCAATATAGGAATGGAAATATTTAGCTTGATGCAACAATCGTGAGAGGTTGCACTCTTGTTTGTATCGATATCATTTTTTTAATCGAATACGGAGCAACGTTGCATGAATAGATATTGAATAGGTATTTTACCTTCATGTTAAGTTCCTCATTATTTCCAAATTATTTCTAAATAATTTTTGCAATTCTTTGCGCAAATAAGAAGACATCGTAACCCGTGTTTTCGGAAAACCACATGAATAATGTCTTGAGTCATGCACGTATCCTCCTCCCCTCCCCCCACACACACATAATTTATTTGATGAAATTAATTAAATATTCACTAAATAAATTTCCTTTGCTATATTTATAATTTTACACATAATTATAAAGTAAGAAAATATAGATGTTATTAAAAAATGTACACATATTTATGTATGTATAATATATTTAGCAAAATATGTAATTATTTAAAAATATGTAATTATTTTTTTAAGAATAACCACATATTTTTTAAATATATCAATTAATTCATTACGTTTCATAAAAGGTTATTCATAAAAGGTTAAAGGAATAAAAAATTAATAAAAATTAAAGACAAATCATCGAAAAATGAATATTTTTATAAGTTATTTCGTAGTTTACCAAATACATGAATAAATTATAAAATATTTCACAAACCATTCAATTTTCAGTTATTTTATATCTTTTGCAATATTTCCGAAAATTAATTTGTATAAAAAAATTAAGGTTCCTGCTAACTTACTATAATTATTTTGAATTATAACGTCAAAAACGGGAAAACATGAAAATTTTTGTAAAACACATTAAAATAATGTTTTTTAATAAAATAAGATTTATAATTTCAATCGATGAAATAAATGTACAAAATATTGATTTGTAAAATATTGAGAACTCTTCTTTCGTCTTGTTAATCAATAAATAATCATATATCTATAGAATTGAATTGTGACTTTGTTTTTACTTAAGTAATACAATTCATTTCTCGATGTGATTATTTATTAATTATTATTTATTAATAACCGAAGCAAAAGAAGAGTTTTTTTTTTTTAATATATTTTACAAGTCTATTCTATCGAGTGCAAACGTTATTTTATCGAAAAACGTTTTCATTTTAATTTTTATTTTGCAAGAATTTCGTATTTTTTCGTTTCTGATGCCATAATTCAAAATGATTACATTAAACCAGCAGGAGTGTTAAAAAATTTTTGTCTTTAAAAGAATGAGAACGCATCCTTTTTTTTTTTACATTGTCGAGAATTTTGCAAGAAGAGTGTAACATTCGACATTTCTACTATTATTATTTCTTCTTTAATCTCATTAAATTATAAATAAACAAATATATATAATTATTTATAATTAAAAATAATAATTTATTTATAATTAAAAAAAAATATATATATATATATATTATTTCCTAATAAAATCCATCTTTTCTCTCAATTAGCAACAAATTTGTATTAGCGTCAATAATGAAGATCATAATGAGAGCCAAACCATCGGGAAGTTTCTGTCGACTGATGAGACCTCGCTCGAATCTCCTTTGTCATGCAAATTGCCGATCCCGCGAATGTTTGCGTTCCATCTCGCGGGTATTGAAATCAATCGTGCACACGCCAGAGGTTCTTGCCAGACGAATTTCATTAAAGGCGAACGCGAAGGGTAATCGCGAGGATATTTTGCGTCATCTACCGGTCCCAACACACCTGTTTATCACATTGATATCGCTCAATGAAACGGAGTCCTTGGCTGACGCAAGAAAATCGGAAATTTCGCGAGATTCGTTACGCGCCGCCACGAGACGATGACAAGACGGCGGCGACGACGTTGTTTTTGCTCGTCCTGTTTCTGGCACACCGGTCCGGAAAAGTCCGAGATAGGCAGCCAGCAGACCGCCTACCTTCTAAATGAAAAGCTAAACATGGCATTTCAATACGCTACAACGGCCCCACTTAACATAGTCGTTAGTGACCGTACGTATTTTGTTCTAAAAAAATAATTTTTTACTTCAGGTGGCTGTCCTTTAAGATTTATTTATTTTCTCAAAACTCAATTTTGTCCTTTATTTTACGGGGGAAATTATTTCTTAAATTAGAATCTCAATTGTCTAATATTTTACACTAATGACAAATTTTTAAAATAAATAATATATATATATATATATATATATATAAATATAATTTGTATTTTGTGTCAATTATATTTTTAATGTTTTTAATTAAAATTATTCAGATTATTAAACCCGTGTTAATTTTTTTCGAACTTATTGCAAATTTAAATCAAGGATTTGTTTGCAATACAGTCGAATCAGTTTCAAACTATCAGAAAACTGCGTTGTATTTCATTAGTAAGCGCAAGAAAATTTCGTAATGTGCAGATTCCTAAATGTCATAAATTTGTGAAATAAAGCTCTAAAATTTTGAGATTTGTCCTTTATTTTCTCGAAGACGTCATCGTACTTATATTTTTCTTATGTCAGCTTATCAAACATGTCCGAATAATCATCCGCGATAAGAAAGAACGTCTCGAGGGCGTGATGCGAAATAGATAATTTAGATGACACATGTGATAAAAACTATTTTATAATAACGTATGTCTAGCCGAAATTCAATGAATCTCGTGAGAGATACACTAATCATCGTGCAAACATTAAGAAACACCTTAATTCAAGACTTTGCTTCTGCATTTCGAAGACGTGCTTTAAATCTTTAATGTCTTGCAACTTTATCAAAATGCAGCGAATTTTAGAATATAGAATGAAATAGCAGAAACAAAAATGTTGCATTTTAAATTAGAAAAATATTTTGGATGTTAAAGATATGAGATGATATCATCTTATTTTCGAAAAATATTATAATCAGTTAAGCTAAACATTTTTTTCAACTATTTCTTCGTGCACAAGTAAGTACATGCTTTTATCAAACTACCGGAAATATTCCTAGAAGCCATTTTGTGGAAGCCATTTTAGATTATAGCCCTAAATTATAGCGTTGTGTTTTGAATGAAGTTAGTTGCACCAAATTCGAAAAATTTGAAGTTACTTTATTATATTCTTTGCACAGAACTTTTATATTTTTTGTCTATACCTTAAAATATTTTTCAAGACATAGACAATTTTTTAAGATTAAAAAAAAAAACACACTTATTTCACTCTAAGAATGAATGTTTGAAAGAATATACCATCTTGAACTACATAAACATTTCTATTGTAAAAATAAAATGTTTCTCCTTTGGTTCTTTTAAAAGTAACACGTTTTATATTATTTTTCCATAATGCAAAAATTTAATTTTATATATATTTTCTGACACATGGTTATTGATGCATACTTGTTGATGATTACAATCTAAATCAATAAATTTAGATTACAAAAAAAGTTCCAATATTTCGTAAGATATATTTTTATCTTCTTTTTTTCTTTCAAATATTACTGTCTGATTTGAGATGCTATTTTTAGAATATCATTGTTTGCAGAAATGTTTGCTTGCATCAGCGAAAAATAAATCCGTCAATATTTTCACTTGCGACGGAAGGAATTTTATCGATATCGGCAATCTCGCGAAATATGATGTCTGACAAATTGCGATAATATGCGTGGAAATGCAAATAAGATTTTGCGATTGTGGCGTCAACTTCTAATTCATATTCTCGTGACTTCAGTCTCATGACTTTATTGCATTCTGACGTCAACAATATTTTTCAAAATACATTTATAGCCCTCAATATTTCTACGAAATTTAAATAATAATTTAAATAATATTAAGATTATTGCAATATGCAATAATCGAAACAATGTAATTATTAAATACAGTTAAAAATATTAAGGTCATATTAATATTATTAATAAAATATTAATCAAGTCAAGAAAAAGCATATAAATCTCATATTAATATCTAATAATAGAAATTATGAAAATAATCAGAAAGATCAAAATGTAATATGTCGTTTATATTTCTAATGTAAAATATTTATTAATATAATTAATAAAAAAAACTTGAAATATTTCAAATATTTAATAAAGTTAATAATTTATATGCCATTAAAAATTACATATTTTCGCTATTCAAGCGGAAATGATAAGAAAAAAATGTAGAAATTAATATAAATTTAAGAAATTATCGGTGTACCTTAATACACATTAAGCATTTTAATATGAATCGACATATTGAATGATTATGCGATTAATTGATTCTTATCGGTAAAAGAAACGATATCGCAAATGTCTAAACACTCACGCGCGTTCACGTGATGCGCGTGATGGAAATTTTCTGGGAAATAAGCCTAATTAATTAATATATAACTCTCTTTCACATTGAATATAGAATATAGAAGATATTTCTATATCTTATTATCGTGATGCATCCTGATATTAGGAAACTTCCATCGCATCTTAATTCAAATTCATGCAAGTCACGCCTTTTGTCAGCAAAAAATAATCCGCATAAATTGCGGGAAACAAATGTTTTCTTTGTAATTTTCTTTTCCGCATGTGACTCGTTACGTACTGATGACGTAAATTTCACAAAAATTTTTCTTGATGCAGATTGACCTGCAATAAAATTATTTTTCATTATTGCTATTCTTCTAATAAATTATATCGAGTTCCATGAATATTATCAAATTCACGGAAAAATATAATTGACAAAATGAATTTCTGTGAATATCAGTGCATACAATCAATTTACTAATCTACCCATTCTATCCTATTAATTTATTAAATATTAATTTTATTTACGTATTCCCGGCTAATGTCGTTTAGCATCTCAATTCATTCTCTGTATTAAATATTAAACAAGTGTAAAATAAAAAAAAAAATTGAAACATCGAAAGCTCGTTGACTATATTAATATTCGATCCATCCCTGTAGAGATACTTGCAAATAATAATATCTAATTATTTACAAAGTTAAAAAGATCAACGATCCGCACGTACAAATCAGATCTGTAGGATTCTCCGCAGGAGAAATTGCACTGGCTTTTTGCGGGAATAGAAGTCGGAATGTTATCGGCGTTATCGGCTCAGCGAACCTATATCGGGCATCTCTCGTGTTCACGTGAGCCTGGTGTGTCCCTGAGTTGCACGCGTCTCTGGAGAGCGACTCAAGTAAGCCCACTCAAGAACGGAAATGTTCGACGTGCCTCTCTCTCGAGAGCGGTACGACGCGACGTGACGTCATCGATTCTCTCATATCACACGCGTGTTTTCAATCATCGCATCATTTCTTCCCCTTCTGCTCCTGGTCTGGTCTCATTCTTGAGCCACGACCTTCCCTACTAGAATTTAAATGCGAATCCCTCCGAATCGATCCATTCCATTGCCATGAAAAGGAAGATTCGTTCTTCGACGCAGCCACGCGGCTCCTTTCTCAGAATTTTTCAAGTTCCTTGCATCGTGACAGAGAACAACAATTTTGTTCCAAATTTTTTCACTTGGATCCGCTTGAGATCCTCGATTCGATCAATTCTCTTCTAGCTTTAGTTTTCTAACGCTAAAGACACATCGTGGAGATATAAATTTTTCTCACTCTAAAAATACGATTAAAAAATTTACAATTTCGTTAATTTAAATCAACTGAGAGAAAAGGAGGTCATTTTCATTTAAGCGACATAATTCTTGTGACTCAGTTATCGATTACCGACTCCTACTTGTAACATAATTAATTAGATGATGTAATTTAGATTCTGATTTAACTCATAAAAGGGGCTGTAAAAGGAAAGGAAGGATAATATACTCGTATTGATTTACGAAAGTATACAATTTTATTATTTGATTGTAGAAAAATTTTTATACAGTTTTAACGATTACATTAAAGTCTTATGCCGTCATGTGAAATTTTTTCACCTGACTGTGTTACAAATACATATACATATATACATGTTGTAATCCTAGGAGCAGATGCAATATTTTACAAGTTATATTAAACACAATCTCTCTCTTCTCTCTCTCTCTCTCTCTCTCTCTCTCTCTCTCTCAACGTAAGTATAAAACGTAAATAAACTCTGGAAAAAAATAATATTTTAAATAACTGGAAAACATAAAAAAATAATAGTTATAATTTTAAACAGTCAACAGAATCAATGACTAAATGTAGATCTCCACAATGTTGTTGCATCCACTCCTACATTATCCATTTAATTAATATATAATTATTTAATATATACAACTAGTCTCGATCATAATCTTAGAAGTCTGTACATAACCGTTATATACATGAATTAGTAATATCTTGTTTTCTCATAAATAAATATTCTTTCTGCCTCTCGGTCAACATGCTAAAAAGCTCTTTTTATCGAGAGCAGCTACATATATGGTTAGCAAGCTAGACAATGCAAAAATCTAAAACGGTTTGGAGAAACTGTCCGAGAAAAAAATGGGAATAGCTTTGGAGTAACTTTTAGATTTATGTATCGCCTATGCAAGATCTCCAACCAGCAAAAAATCGGACGATTTTAAACAGTACCTTTGGACATTTCCAATTCGTTCTTATATCTCATATATAATATTATATAATATTAAATGCGATTGCTCATATTCGTACAATCTGTTTAACGCAACGATTACATTTCCATATTGTTCCGAACTGAAAGAGCGTACACGCGGTCGCATTTAGTGCTGAATAATCGCGCTGCGAAAGCGAGTCCGACTCTCCGCGAGTGACTCGTGAAAAGCAAAAGCAAAAATTCTCGATTGAACGACACATTAGCCTTCACGTGTCACAAATCACAGACACATTTAGGTACTCGGTTTACGGGTAGAGATAAAGTCCCTTGAGCGCGATGGCTCAATCGCCGCTTCGCGTCTTCGTTCCATCTCTTTAAATATAGTTCATCCTATCCTCCTTTCAAATTAAACTTGATTTGTTCCATTTTTTCCCAGTAATCCCCATGTTAAAATAACATTGGAATCTTTTCTATCATGTAAAATACTCCTTCAATTGATCAAATTATGCTAGATAGATCAATTTTCACTCGTATTTCCAATTAATGATACTTCAGCGGAAGATATCAAAAGATATTTTTATATCTTTTATATCTGGGATTTCCATCCCGATGAAAACATATGTGTTAGATGCCTTAATTCTTGCCCTTAATAATCTTCCGTCTTGAGCTCTCGAGTTCTTTATTTGCATATGCCGCATTGTATACTGGAATCCAGGAATCTAATCGAGACATGCACGTGAAAGAGGGGAGGGGGGCGCAAAATATAGCTTCCTCAGCGATTACGAACGAGCGTTCTTCAAGCTGCCAATTGAGGAGGTACCAGTTGTTGAACGGATCGCGTTAATCGCGGCGCCAGCACCGGCAACAGACTCACCCTTAAGGGTGTCGGGGTCATTTGAGAGGCGGTAATCTGACCATTGGAGGAAGATGGTGTAGAGGACTTGTCTCTGGCGTGACGCTTCACGTGCTTCGCCAGATGATCGCTCCTCATAAACCGCCTTTGGCACACGACGCAGGCGAATTTCTTCTCGCCGGTGTGCGTGCGCTTGTGACGCGACAGCTCGTCGCTGCGCGAGAAGCGGCGGCTGCAATCCTCATACGGGCACGGGAACGGCCGCTCGCCGGTGTGGGTGCGCGTATGAGCCTTGAGGTGTGACGATTTGAAATAGTTCTTGCCGCAGCCCGGATGCTCGCACTCGTAAACGCGGCGCCGCGTCTCTGTCGCGGCCGTGCTCGTCGTCGTTATGGTGCTGGTCGTTACGGTCGCGGTCGGCGTCGCACTGGCGACTAACAGAAGGGGCGCTCGTGGTAAAACCAGGGGTGAACCCAACAGGCCCGTTACCACAATGGGCGCGGGCTTAGGCGCGAGGGGTTGCAATCTGGGTAACTGCTGTTGTTGCTGATACTGTTGCTGTTGCTGTTGCTGCTGCTGCTGCTGCTGCTGATAGTGATTCTCGCGATCAGTATTCTTGCTGTTCACAATGATCTCCTCTTTGCGTAGGCTCATTTTGAACTTCAGACTGCGCAACACGTTCTCCACCGGTTCCGTTACGTTCGCTCGCACATTCGCCTGTGGACTGGGCGGCTGTCGCGCGGGCGAATCGCGCGGTACCAATTGGCCGCTGGTCACGGGGCACCCGGTGAGATTGGCCGGACTGCAAGTACCGTCTCGATTGGCACGCATTATTACCGAAACCCGAGCTGGCTCTGGGCTTGGCGGCGGCGTGCCGTCTAGCAGCAGCTGAAACAAAAATAAGCGATTCTATATTCGCGATTTGCGAAAAAATACAAGCATTATATGTTGCAACTCATTATGAAGTATATAAAAATGTCTTTTAATCGACAATCCATATGAAAGATCGTAGTCTATGCGAAAGAGCATTGAGTGTCAGTGCCTTTGATCTGGGATTTATAGCTAGTTCCTATATTTAAGATTATTTTAAATATACTTAAACGTATACTTAAGCGTACTTAAATATACCATTATGTATATTTAAATCAATTTTATAATTAAGTATATATCAATCAATTTTCATATTTAAGATCGTCTTAAGGTTACATTTCAATTAAGAGATGGTCATGTAAACTTCAAATATTTAATAATACGATTTTAAATAGAAGAAACAAACTAATAAATACCAGCCTTTGTATACCGGTATCCTAGAAAATGAACAAATCGGAAGTATCCCATAAACATTTGTTACATAACGGACAGTTCAGAAAAAAAGCATTTGAAGCTACAAACCGAAGAATGCTAAATTCGTCTTATCAATTTGTCTTTAATATCAGAAGCTGTTTACCAACAAGGAATCGATATAGCAGTCAGCATTTTTGTCGAAAGTATCGTCGGGAGGTACGCCTACTCGAAAGATAAGAAGATGGAAGAAATATTGCGCACTCAAACGGAATCCTATCGCAACAACTCTGACTTGTTTTCTATTCAAGTTTTAAATTAAATCAAAATAAGAAATTGGAAAAAATGATGGAAGAAAAGGAAAGCAAGGAGAAAAGAAAAATGAGGAGAAAAAGGCAAGGAGAAGGAAAAAGTAAAATGCAGCTATCTTTCTGTATAAAGCTATTTTTTTATTTACCTTCGCTAGTTCGCATTGCTCAACGCATCGCCGTTTTCGGGGTGGTTCATCTTCTTCTGAATCGGAAGGCTGAGGGGTAGGCGGTAAAATGGGACGAGAGCTCGCATTCTCTTCGTCTTTCCGCCTGGATTTCACCGATTGGTCTGAAAGCTTCTCCCCCAGTAGAGCCGCGACACTGAATGATAATTGCGGTTCCATCTATAAAATAAAAAAGAGGCGTTAACGTATTATTTCAACGTATTATTTCACTCAAAGAGTTCATGATATAAATACCTATTGAATAAAATTATTTCGAAATTAAATTCGAAACAAAATGAGATATTGAAGTAAAATATGTGAAATAAAAAAAATATATATATTTTTTTTAATTTAAAGCAATAGTAACATGCAATTATAAGCCAAATAAAATTCCAAGAATAAAATAAATGGAAGATTCTTTCATTCTTATCATCTATATTTTAAGACATTTTTTAATTGTTAAAAATTATGTATAGGCAATTATGTATATGCGTCTCCTCCTAAATTCTGTTTATTGATAAACAGAATTCATTAGATTTCTTTATATATTTTTTATTAGTTCTTTAGTTTAAATTTTATTTTATTACATTTTCAATTTTGATATTTTTAAAGAATATTGATAATTACGTTATCACAAATATAAAATTAGAAATAAAATCTTTTCTTCAAATAACTAAAATTAAATTTAATGATATTTTAATGTAGAAATTAAAATAAAAAAATTAAAATCGAATTTATTTACACCAACAATTAATTTACAATATAAAAATATATAAAATTATATTAATTTTATAGATAATTGCTTCTGATAACGTAAAACAAAAATTATTATTTCGGTACAACTAAAACATTTCACTGTCATAAAAGCCATAGCAAAATTCTCTAACATTCCATAAAGGCAACTACGAAGAACATTCGAGTTTGGCGGGCAACGGCGAACGATGTTATGGCGGTATATTTAATTTACTGCCACTTACATGTTTCAGCTGGGGCGAGGCCGGTGGCGAAAGAGGCGCCTGG